CATGCCCAACCGTGCTCGCACGCACACACGCACAGCCACACGCGCAGAGGCACACGCACACGCGACGTCGCATTTGTTCACACCTGCATGCTTTCTCGGCCGCTCATAGTAGACATGGGCGCGCATGCAGGCAAGGTGCGCCCGTCACCGGTGTCTCGCTTAGCCTCGGCCTCTCCTCAGGCCGAATCCGGGATCATAGCCAACCCGCGGCGGTTTAATAAGCAGCCTTGGCAGTGGCCTGATCCGCCTCCCATGGATCCTCAGCAGCAAGTTTATTTGGGGGCCGCTGGCATCGCTGTGGATCCTGTTTCCTGCTGTCCTGCGTGTATGAAATCTGGGCCCTTCCCCAAGGGGCAACATACAGGCGTGCTTTCGATAGACTTTGGATGAATCAATTTGGCGCCTACGTAGCGAGAAATCCGGGCCCTTGCAAACGTTCTTTCGATAGGCTTAGGATGAGTAAACTTGGCACCAACATAGAGAAAAATCCGCAGGCGTGCTTTCGAGTGACTTTGGATGAATCGCCAACTTTTGTGACTGGTTTTAGTTTTTGGTTTGCCCGAAAGCTGACTGACACTGTTGTCTGAAAGTGACAATATACCAGGGCTCACCGTCTGGAGAAGTTGAGCCTTTGACACGCGGCTATATTTTTTCAATATGGACGACATGACAATTCACAATTTTATTCTTTTGGAATAACGTAGAACGATTTGATGCGCCCAACTGACGCTCATTGCTTTGCCATCCCAGGCCACTACAACCACTATCACAGAAACCACCACGCACCTTGACGACGATGATGAGCACCATGGCCGCTCCCACAACGCACGGTTCTCAGTTCTTGCAAAGCAGGGCTGTCCTTTTTTTGATGGTATACCTGATTGGGAGAGCGTGTAGGCAATTGGAAACAAGTATATGTCACCCTCCCCCAAAGTGCTTCCAGATTGCTGTTGGAGGTATGGACCGCAAAGACAAGAGGCAAAAGGACGGCCCTGTAAAGTAAAACTCTAAAGACATTTTCTGGCGGAACTTAGACGAGCCCGGGTTCGGCTCAGAGGCGGCGCCCTCTGCTGAGTTTCCCTGTTTCCTCTGGGATACTTTCTGCGGGAGAAACAAACGCCCGCAGACCACGGCGAGCCTCAGCGGGGCGGCTGCAGCAGTGTTTGGCATCATGTCCGCGACGCCTGTAGCGAGAATGATGCTGAGCTGAGCCGAGCTGAGAGCATGGGGACCTCTCAAAGTACGAGCGTCCCGGTTTTCGTTACGAGAATCATTTCGAGCAAGAGTGGTCCTTTCGCGGCTTGACCAACTTGATCTCATTAGATAACATGAAAGTTTCTCGCCCTGAACAGTGTCAACCAAAACAAATTCCGCACTAAGGACTACTTGGCTGAGAGCTTGTGAGCTGACTAGCTTGGTTTGCGGGGACCCTCAGAGCCAATCGCTGTCGGGACTGGTTATGAAAGCACTTGGCCGAAGAAGCAAAACCAAACCACAAAGGCATCTCAAATACGTTTTGCATGTTTTTCAGGTACATTCTGGGGACCTCGAGTGCTTGCTGAGCAGCACGATAGGCTCTTTTGGATGAGCCACTGACAACATCCGTAGCCGCTTGCTACTTTGTGAAGGACGTGGCATGCTACTCTGGCCCTCAGTTTCGTCTCAAGCCATGTGAGCGCTGTGTCCGCAGCCAAGTCTCTCACGTCCTCCAAAAAATACTGTCTGTGGGCTCACCGACGCTGGGCGCTCGTTTGCGCCAAAGACATGATATGTCGCATTGCGCCGCACGAGGCCGCAACATAATCATCTCGCAAGTGCACTTTGTGAAAGAGCGCCGATGGGTTTGGGGCACGTATTTGGCCGCCAGGCTGACATCGGCTACTGCAAGAGTGAATGTACCATTGTCCAAAGGCCGGGCTGGGAATGGGAACCTCTCCAGCTTGCTTCTTGCCAAGCTTGGCCTATGCAATGGGTGGCTCGTCTTTTTTAGGATTCGGACCCCCCAAAATGGCTTCGGTTTGCAACTTTTGGTTTCCCTTTAAAACCAACCAAAAAGGGGTACCATCAAACAAATACACACCCAATGTGCTTTGTAGGGAATCGGTTTGTATTTCTCGAGAAAGCTTTCGGACATGACAGCGACCTCACTTGTGTTAGCAGCGGTGCCCACAGATTAAGCTCTTCATTTGATGAGTTATCTGGCAGGTTTGCAAAAAGATCTGCGGGAAGGAGCGGCCAAAGATTGCAGATTGGTCCGCATCCCAGTATGCCGTGTAAAAGCCGTGCCCATGGTGACTTCATTGGATCAGCCACACTGGCGTTTTCGTTTGTGCGACTCTCCATTTGCTACGGTGGATGCCCTAAATATTGCAAGTATGGGCACAAGGAAGCCATCTACTTTACCGTAAGTTTCCATGGTTTTCTGGTTATGGTTGGTTTACTTGCAATATTCAGGGCATCCACCTGCGAAGACAAGGTTGTATTTGTATCTCGTGAGGAAGGATGAGCCATTTGAGGCACGTGACCAGAAGGAGGCCGAGCGATTTCTCGTGTGCTCCATGGGCTTCCATTTTGGCTCCCCATTGGAACGTAAACTGCATGCAGAATCCATCACCCCATCGTATGGGTGTGTCTTTTTTAGGATTTGGACCTCCAAATGTTGGTGGTTTTCCTTTTGGTTTCCTTTAAAACCAACAAGAGGGGTGCCAACTCCAACAATGAACACGCCCATATTCGTGGGAATTCATGGACCCTCATCCGGGCCCTTGGGGAAGGGCCCGGATTTTTCCCCAACATCTTCAGCATCACCAGGAGGCATACTGATAATGACGTCCACGCATCCTTTGCATCTCCAGTCACTTCACAATCATCATGACGCTAATCCGGGCCCTTGGGGAAGGGCCCGGATTTTTCCCTATTTGGGAGGGTTTCGGCGTGTCGAGTTTGGAGCCTTGTGCCAACCTTTTTTGTTGCGCTGGGAGCTTTTTGGCAGCCGTTTTGGGGCTGAGGGCGAGGACCCCCAAAATGGCTTCGGTTTTCAACTTTTGGTTGCCCTTTAAAACCAACCAAAAAGGGGTACCATCAAACCAATACACACCCAATGTGCTTTGTAGGGAATCGGTGAATTTTGTATTTCTCAAGAAAGCTTTCGGACATGACAGCGACCTCACTTTTGTTAGCAGCGGTGCCCACGGATTAAGCTCTTCATTTGATGAGTTATCTGGCAGGTTTGCAAAAAGATCTGCGGGAAGGAGCGGCCAAAGATTGCAGATTGGTCCGCATCCCAGTATGCCGTGTAAAAGCCCTGCCCATGGTGACTTCATTGGATCAGCCACACTGGCGTTTTCGTTTGTGCAACTCTCCATCTGCTACGGTGGATGCCCTAAATGTTGCAAGTATGGGCACAAGGAAGCCATCTAGTTTACCGTAAGTTTCCATGGTTTTCTGGTTATGGTTGGTTTACTTGCAATATTCAGGGCATCCACCTGCGAAGACAAGGTTGTCTTTGTATCTCGCGAGGAAGGATGAGCCATTTGAGGCACGTGACCAGAAGGAGGCCGAACGATTTCTCGTGTGCTCCATGGGCTTCCATTTTGGCTCCCCATTGGAACGTAAACTGCATGCAGAATCCATCACCCCATTGTATGGGTGTGTCTTTTTTAGGATTTGGACCTCCAAATGTTGGTGGTTTTCCTTTTGGTTTCCTTTTCCTTTTTGCATCGCCACGCTGATGAAGAGGACAATGATGATAGGGATGATGATGACATGTTTCTTTGCATTTCACAATACCTTTCCCGGGCTTGGGCGTGCCCAATTTGGAGCCTGGTAACAACCTAAGGACCCCTAGGAAAGCATCACTTTCTCAGAACCAAGAGGACTCCTTTCCGGAAACGGTTTCTTTTTCATTGCCCTTTACATGCGCCTGTCGTTCCCCCCTCCCACTACATTAGCTCCCTCCCCGTCCCCGGCATGCTGCAGCAGGCGCGCAGGAGCCAGACCATCCAGAGCTGACTGAGAAAAAGCGTGGGCTGCGGGTGGGGATCCGTGCTTTGCCGGTTTGTTCCAAACCTAATCCCCACTGATTAGCGGTTTGCGGAAGCAAATTATGCGGCTTGCGCCTTCTGAATTATGGATTACACGGCTTTCTCATGCTCCAACATCAGGTCTTGACCAAAGTTTCAAGCGCAACTTGCGATTCAGAAGATGACAAGCATCAGAAAAATTATGCGGCTTACGGATTGCGAATAGGCCTCCAGGCTTTCCAACAGGCTACTTTCGAGGAGACAACAAGCCATGAGGCCCGGCAACCCAACCAAAGCCGAGAACGAGCTACTTGCTCCCCCACATGTTTCCCACCCTTTTCAGCACACGAGTGTTTCTTGGATCCCTAGCCTTTATTTACGTCGGGGAACCTGTTGCGCACCTGGTGTACAATTATTGTCAAAGCACTATCCCGTTGTGCTGTCGTGTGCCCCTAACCACAAATCCAGAGCACAGAGTACAAACTGATTGTCAGCTAACGCTTGGCCGTAATGATCCTGTACTGGGAATTTCTACGGAGACCCTGCCAGTCCGAGGAACCACTCCCAAAACATTATCCTTTCCCAACTCGACAACCAGTTCATTGGCAGCCCACCTTTTCCATCTTTCCAGGCTTGCTACCCTGTGGCCTCAACACGTGAAACACTTCGTGTCTGTCCGTTGGCAAACCCTGCAACTTAAGTCCAACTCTGTACCGCTGAACCCATCCCGCAGCTGCTGCGCTGTACCATCTAGCCTCGGCCCAAGCAGAATATTCACACGCTTGTTTAACATTGACAAGGAAACTCCCGTCAGACGTGTGTTTCTAGACCACGTTCAACACACAGATTCCAGCGGTTTCAAGCCTGAGCCCCTCAGTTCCACCACCGTGATTTGGAGCCCTGCACACGTAGACGTGGCTCGTCCACAGCTGCAGTTGTTTCCGCCATGCGCTTTGCCTTAGCATACGGTCGCGGAAGGCGCGCTGTGCCAATCCACGCTGACTGCGCAGAGGCCGCACGAGAACTGTATGCCAGAATTCAAGCCGATCCGTGCTACATCCAAGGCGCTTGGACGCCTGCTCAGTGGGCAGCAATTTGTGATGCGTTCGAGCTTGATTTGGCTCTGCCCATGCGACACCCGGATACTGCCACATGTGTGCTGTCCCGAGCCTACGCTCGAAATACAATTCGCGTTAACGTGCCATCTGGCCTCTTTCTTGAAGCCACCTTGCACGTCGAACGTTTCCTATGCACTGAGCCATGCCGTGCTCGAACGCGCCCAGTGGCCGACATTCGCGCATTTTTCCGGTCCGTGACCTTGGTCGGCAGTCGCCGCAATCCGGCTATTCGCTATGCAGGCACCCTATTCTGCTTGCCGCAGGACTTGCCCGCAGAGCCAGCAGAGCTCCTCTGGGAACGGCTCCGCCAAACTCCCGCAATCGCGTCTGGCTCCTTGCCGATAGCTGCTTTCCGTGCCCTGTGGATGGCCCTGTTAGCTCAAATTGCCGACCGCCCTGGCGCGCCGTCCGTCAAGCTTGTGCTTCACACTATGTCTTGCACTGTGCCAGCGACTGTTGCCTTCGATGCTGCGTTGGAATTGGCTCCCCTCCAAGTGCAACCTCCTACTGCCGACGGCATGCCGCAAGCTTGGCATGCTTTCCGAACTCGGTGGCTCAGTCCACGTGACCTCCCTGGCCAGCCTTTCCATCCCGACGGCCACTCCCACGCATCAGCCCCTGCAGCCGTCGAGCCACGCGCCTATGATGCTGATGAGCACAGAGACCTAGCGCCACGATCTTGCCCTGAGCCTTCCTTGCCCTGGCTCTGCCGCTTCTGCTCTTCCTCCTTCTCCGACTCCAGCGATTTCCAGGACCACTTGCGGACGCACCACCAATGCGATTTATGCACCTATCCAGCCCTCCTTCGTGCATCCCTGGCCACTCGCTTTCCGACCCCGGCAGACCCGCGCCTCTTGCGACGGACCCTAGCGTCTTATCGAGACACCTTGGCCGCCACACTAGTCAAGACTGTCACGCCTTGTGCTTCCTGCGCGACCGTGCCAGATATGCACGGCTCAGCCACTTTTGACCTCCGTGATGGCACCTTTGACTTAGCCGGCCTGCACGACCTCCTCTCTGTTGGCGCCTACTGTGCCAGATATACAGCCTTGTTGCCTCTCGGATTGCCGTGTGACTTTGTTGGACTGCAGCCAGAAGCCTTGAGCCGCGCGTCGGTCCCCGCTCCTGCAATTGCGAACATTCCTCTGCAGCCCCTGCCTACAAATCGCTGGATTCTCTTCCTGCCAAGCCCTGCAGCTGTTGACGCGTGGACAGAAGCTGCAGCCGACTGTGGCCGCTCCTTGCCAGTTTGCCTGTGCCATGCTTGTGTAATCGCGTGGCGATGCCGCGCGCCGCGTTTACCAGGAGTGGGATTGGCGAATGGAAATCTGCATCTGCCAGCACCGCCTGAGCTACAGGGTCTCACCGAGGCAGAGCTGCTTTTCATCGCCCGCGGCTTTACCGTTGTCAAATTGAAATCCCTCCCCGCCAAAGGACCGCCTGAGGCGCGGCAACGCGCGCTCCTCGGAAATGTGATAAGCTTCCCCCAGGATGCAGCGCAGCTCGTCCATGCACTCCCTCGCTCGGCTGCTTCTGTAGCAGAAATGCTGAGCGTCTTCTTCCCCCCGGAAGATGCCAACTCCTTGCGCCACATCCCCGAATTCATAGTGCGCCAAGCTCGCGTCAGAGCTGCGCTGCTTTGGCTGCAAAAACATAACCCTTTCTACGCTCCTGTAGCCTTGGATGAAGAAGCATTGGAAACACTGCCCCAGGAAGCCGTGCCTGCAGCGCTGCTCCAAGCCGCGCGCCCGCTGCCGCCAGAAGATGCACCGACTGCTCACGAAGGCCCGGCTGAAGCTGTGTGCGCCTGCCCTTTCCCGCGAGACGGCGGATGTGCGTGTTCTCAGCGCAGCTGTGAAGGTGAGGCAACTCATCCCCTTGCACGATGGCAACATGCATTGACCGCAGTCGAGGACGCTGCGGCTACGCTCGCGGAAGCTCCCGGTGGACCCTTGCAAGACTTTGTCGTCAGTACTGCTGTAGCGGCTACTACGTCCCTCCTTGCTCCAGCAGCGGCCGACATGACCCACACCGACGCTGTGCAAGACGCAAACGTTTTTGCTGTTGTTCCTCACGGAACCGTGCCGCTAAGTGCTTTTGATCCTGCGTACTGGACCTTCTGCTTCCCGCATCTCTTCCCCTACGGCGAGCCGACTGAGCAGACAACTCGGACGGTGCACTTACCAGACCGTGATTGGGCACGCATGCTGCTCTCCACAGAAGATCGTACCTCCGAACAATATCCGTGGCGCTTGGATCACTCCTTCATTGCTGTTGTTTTTGCCGTCCTGCATCGCCGTGCCCTCATGAGAGCAGTGCGTGCCAAACTGAGCAGTCCAACATTCCAACGAACGGTGCAAGACTTGCAAAGCCTCCGCAGTGTGGATTTTGCTGCCGTGTACGAGACGCTTGGCGAGCACGGTGGCGTGCCGCAGGCATTGTCCCACCCCCACGTCTCCGCCCAAATGAAAAACTTGCTGCGCACGTTGCGTCTCGTCACTGCCCAGGTGCCCTGCACCGACGGTGCTCGCCATGCCATGCGCCACGAAATCAATGCCTTGCAGCTTTATTTCGGCTTTCCGTGCCTTTTCATCGCACTGAATCCTTGCGACACGCGGCATCCATTGACCTTTAAGATGCAAATGCTTAACATGCAACAGTGGGAGCTGCCATTGCCACGTATGGACGAGTACCTGTGCGCTGCGTTGCGAGAAGCTGACCTGCCACGCCTTGTCGCTGCCGACCCTGTTGCAGCCACCCGGGCCTTCCATGCCCATGTTGGTCTCTTCATCAGCCAACTCCTTGGCTGCACGTGCCCTTGAGACCTCAACCTCCCGGTGGCCACCGCTCATGAGGGCGTCTTCGGCCCCGTGGCTGCATTCTACGGCGTGACAGAGCCGCAGCTCCGCGGCAGCTTGCATTTGCATATGTTGGTTCACTTGCACGGTGCCTCCGGCCCGCAGGAAGTGCTCTCGCGCTTCCAGCAAAACTTGCCCGCATTGCGCCAGGCCCTTATGGCATGGGCTGCAACACTGCAACAGTGTTCCTTGGAAGCCATTCCTGAAGTGCTGGGCATGCCTGCTGCCCGCGATGCTCTTCGTGCCCTTCAGCCATTGCCATTCTCACACGCACACCGCCAGGCCTTGGGCCCTGCCTGCCATGACTTTGTCTCCTCTGCGGCAAAACATTGGTTTGCCGCTGATCCGGCACGCGCGCTCGAGGCTGAGCAATCCGCAAGCGGATGCTGGTACGATCCCTTCGCTGACCTGGCCGCAACGCGACCGGCTTGCCTCCCTTGGCCACGAGATTATCTTGCAACGCACGAGTCCTCCCCAGCTGCCAGCGATTGGACTGCTATGCTCCTCTATGACGTGCGGCGCACTGCAGTTCAGTGCGCGCTGCACGAGTGCAGGCCACGCACCTGCTGGAAAGGCTGGCTTGGCCGCATTCGCTTCTGCCGCTTGGGCTTCTGGCACTGGCGCCACGTTAGTGACGCAGCGCATCCGCGCGCGTGGCGAAGAATGCACGGAGCAGCGTTGCAGCCGACTGGCTGCACCATTGGGACCACCCCTCCTACTCGTGGCCTTCTCGCGCCAGAGCGTCACCATCCATACTTCACCAAAATTAACCTCGCCATTCTAGCCGCCACAAAGTCCAACCACGACGTCAGCATTCTCTTGCGGGGTCCACCTGCTGACCTCCCAAACGACTACGATACATTCTTGCAGTTCATGCTCGGCAGCGTGCGCAGCACGGCCTTTTACATCACAGCTTACACCAGCAAAGTGCAACCGCAACTCACCAACCTCTGGCTGCTTTTGCAATCGGGCCAAGCGACCCTCGAAGCTGAGCTCCGCGACCTTCCAGACCCGCTGCCCAGTCTCCAGCATGCTTCCAAAGTATTCAATCGCATGATCAGCGCGTGCCAAAAGCGAGTCCACAAAAGCATGCCCGAAATGGTGCAGTTCCTTTTGCGCCAGCCTGAAGCGTACAAGTCGCACACTTTCGTTCCACTCTTCCTCACCGATCTGCTGCGCCAAGCAGCTGCCCTGCTGCAGCCTGAGGATCAAGCTGCTAGCAGCCCTAGCAACGTGGTGTTGCTGCCAGCCACCGCAGGTCCGGACCCAACACACCCAGGAACATCCGGCCCAGTCCGGCCAGTTCCTCTTGTGCCGCAGTCCACGGACTACCTCTGCCGCGGCCCTGATCTTGCTGCCTGGCCCTTGTATTTTTATGTTGCCGGTGTGCGACGCGTTCGCAGGCGAGATGTCCCAGATGACGCCGCAGTCGTGCCCTTTGATTGCCAACACCCCTTAGCCTCCTCCTGCGTCCAAGTGGTCGCACTGCACACCCCATGGGCAGTTCCACGCTTCATTGGCAGTAGTCTACCGGACCCGTCTGCGGACGTGGACAGGTTTGCGCAAGTCATGCTCCTGCTCTTGAAACCTTGGCGCAGACCTGATTTACGCGACCTGCTCCCTCCTGTGGCCCGCGACACTTCGCTCCCTGCCTCCTCCTGGGCTACTGCCCTTGCTGAGTACGAGCTCTCTCTCTGCCTGCCTGCTCCTTCCCCTGAAGCGCCCTTACCCTGCCGTGGCCAACCCTTCTCGCCTCGTTATTGGACCCAGCGTGCAGCGCACATTCTTCAGAACGCCCGCAACTTAACCGGCGCGCCTGTTGACACCAACGCCGCGGCTTTGCGGGTCAACCCGGATGCCGCTGCCGGATGCGAAGATTCGATCGAACTCCCGCCAATCGACCCCAGTCGCCCCGCCAACCGGGCACCCTTCGAGCAGCCAAGCGACACAGACGATGACCCAGAGGAAGCAGAGCAACTGCCCGAATTTGTGCCCAGGGCCGTTCCCGTCTTGACTTGGCACGATGTCTCCAACATGAGCCGCGGAGCCTTCTCGACCCGTTCCATCCCTGACCCGTACCGCGACAGCTTCCTGGCGACGCACGCTCCAGCCAGTCTCTTCCAAGCCGTGCTGCCCAGGCCCGCTCCAGAGGCCGCTGTACCAATTCGTGCTCCTGCCAACGCTCTGCGGCGCGGGGAGCTCAACTGGGATGCTGTGGTTGCCGCGTGGGAATCTGAGCAAGCGCTAACTGCTAGTGATGCACGCCAGCTCCCTCTTCGCGCCGCCGATGTCTTCACTACTGTAACCACCTGGTTTGCTGAAGGGCGTTGCAACAAACCGGATAATACCATCAACCACAAGCAAGCCGCAATGCTTCTTTTGCACGCACTGTGGGTGCATGATATGCTCGTGCATCAAGCCATGCGAACCATCGGTCCACCCCCCACGCAGTATACCATCCTTTTAGGCGGTCCGGGCACGGGGAAAACCCACACCCTGCGCCTCATGCAAGAGCTGACACAAACATTTTTGCCGCGCGCCACACGAACCGCTGCACCAACTCACAGTGCCGCGCGCCTTGTCAATGGCCGCACACTGCACAGCTGCCTCGCAATTCCTTTGGAAGGCCTTTCTGCCCGCAACAAATCCCTTGGACAGCGAAAGGAGCAGCTCCTCGCAGACTGGCTTTACGTCTGGATGCTGTTTCTAGATGAATGCTCCATGGTGCCGGCGGAAACCATGGGCCTGGCAGAGTATCGGGCGCGCCAAGTCCGAGACTCTCCACACGTTCCATAGAGAGGGCCTCAGCGTGCATTGCTCTGGAGACTTCCTTCAGCTCCCTCCTGTGCTTGCCACCAGCCTTGCAGACCCCGTCGAGCCCCCGGGCCACTATGATTCCGACACACGGCAGCGCTGGCGATCGCATCGGATGCCGGCGCTGTCACGCTGTCTGGACGCAATTCACGAAGTGCATTTGCCTCGATTACAGCCACCGGTGCCGCGGAGACCTGGCTGACATCATCGCCACTCTCCGCACCAGCCCAAGCGGACTTTCCGAGCAGCAGTGGCGTCTCTTGCAAAGCCGCGTGCTGCGCAAAGACGATGCGCGTCTTCGCCACGAAAGATTTGCTGCGCCTACTGCCGTCCTTGGCGTCCTGCGCCACGCCGTGCGTGCTGCCTTGACCCCTGCGCGTGCACACGCGCTCGCTGCCAGCGCCGGCAGGCGCCTTTGCATTTTGCCGGCGTCAGACATCATCCGCGGTGATGACGGCGTGCTGGCGAGGGATCCTTCCTTTGCGCATCGATGTCTTGCTGTGCATAGCCTCAGCGCTACCAAAAACTTGCCCGGCTTCCTCTTCCTTTGGCTCGGCTGCGAGCTGCTTCTGGAAGAGAAGCTTTGTGACGACCTGGGGCTCGTCCGTGGCTGCCGCGTCACGCTTGTCGATATCATCCCAAGCGAAGGGCAAGTCCTCGGATCGCATGATCCATCCCTGTCGCCATTTGTGCTAGCATCTTGCCCCGCTGGCTTGGTTGTGCGCTTGCCTGGCGCAACATGGATCAAAGACCCTACGTTGGGGCCCGGTGCGTTCTTCATCAGCCCCAGAACAAGGTCGTGGCGCTTCGGCCCCGGAGCTAACGAAACAGACTTCCAGCCTGCAACTGTTGCACGCACGCAGCTCCCCTTCACGAATTGCGTTGCATTCACTGCGTACGGGCTTCAAGGCGCCACCGTGCCAGGCCTGATAGCCGACCTCGCCGCGCCGCCAAAGATGCCGCGGGAAGAATTTTGGATGGCCCTGTATGTCCTCCTCAGTCGAGTCACTCACTTGGATCACTTATTGCTCTTTAGGCTGCCTTCTCCAGCGCAGTGCAGCGGCGGGCCACCTGCCAGTGTCCAAGCCGAAATTTCACGCTTGCGCGCCATCCAAGAAGCCACGCTACGCGGTCTTGCCGAAGACACACGTGCGCGGGGCCTTCACGCCCTCTATGAGTCTGTCGTGCAGCCACTATTGCCCCAGCGCGCGTGAAAAACAGCCAAAAATCAAATTCAGCACTCATGCCGGCGGCTTCAGCCCTCGGCACTCTAAATCTGGCGCTGGCTTTTTTTTCTTTGCGCAAGCTCATCAGTGCGTTCGCCTGCGAAGATTTCTGTTCTCTTCCTTGAGGATCTCGACGCGGCGCTCCAGCGCCTCACGGCGGCAAGTCTCGCGGTTGACCTGCCTCTCAAGCAGAGCAGCCCGCTCCCGCACCATCTGCAGTTCCGCCAGATCTCGCTCACTGCGATCGCAGCTGTGCTCCAGCATCCCGAGGAGAGTCCCACAGCGCGCAGCTTCGGCGAGGAGATCCTCTTGAAGGACCGCGATGATACATCGGTGGTGCAGACGCTCGGCCTCGAGCAGTGCATCCTCGCGAGGCCGCGCGGGAGGCCACTGGGCCATCAGAGCGGCCGCAAGGCTGGGAGCGTCCTCCTCCACCAACGCGGCGGGCTTCTCCAGAAGCCATGCCTGCACGCATCGGAAGGCCGCCGAGGAAGTGATTTTGAGGAGGTGCGGCGGATCGAATCAGCATTATCGAGAAAAACGAGAGCTCGGGATCTTTTTTTGCTTGCGCGTCCTCAAGCTCATCTGTGCGCTCGCACGAGGATCTCGCCGAGGTGCGCCACCCGCTGGCGGAGAATTCTGTTGCTGCGCTCCAGCTCTTCAACGCGCTCCCTAGCTCGCTCGCGCTCTTTGTCGATGAGATTGTTGAGGCCGTCCACCCGCCGGCGGAGATTTCTGTTCTCGCGCTCCCGCTCCACACAGCGCAGAGTTTCGCCGAGGAGCTCCCAATCGAGCTGCGTGATGAGATGCCGCTGGTGCGAGCGCTCGGCCTCAAGCAGCGCGTCCTCGCGAGGCCGCTTGCGTAGCATGTCGCAGGGAGGCCGCTGGGCCATCAGAGCAGCCGCAAGGCAGGGAGCGTCCTCGTCCGCCCACGCGGCGGGCTTCTCCAGAAGCCATGCCTGCACGCATCGGAAGGCCGCTGAGGAAGTCATCTTGAGCAGCTGCGGCGGATCTCATTATCGAGAAAGCGAGAAAACGAGAGCTCGGGATCTTTTTTTTCCGGTTCCGACAGTCTACGCCCAGCAGCGGCTCAGCCGCAGCGGCAGTGTCGGAGCGGGCCCCAGAGGCGGGGGCCCCACGAGGAACTCCATCACGAGGTCGAAGGGCGCGGAGCCTGGCGGAGCGTAAGCGCCCAGCATCCGCAGCTGCTCCAGGTTGCGCCAGTGTCCCAGCGGCCGCGAGTTGTGAGCGTCGAGGCCGTAGACCTTGTCGTTGAAGGGCGAGAGCGACTTCTTCTCGACGGTCTCCACGGCGATCTCGTGCGCGCGGCTGCGCAGCTGCGCGAAGGCCGCCCTGCGCTCGCTGCCTTCCTCCAGCACCTCCCGGTACTCGAGATGCCGGACGTTGGTCACCGCCTTCTTCGGCACGCCCTTGATTTTGCGCTTCTCCTTGCGCGCGCCGTCGGGCTGGACCGTGAGGATGCTGTACATCTTGGAGCGCAGGCCCACGTACTCCAGGATCCTGGCGGGGAAGGTCTCGTCGCCGAGCTTGCCCAGCTGGCCCATCACCTCGATGGCCTTGGCGCGCGCCGCTGCAGAGAGCGCGCTCAGGTCCCTCTCGGGGTCCTTGGACTTGCCGGCCGGCGCCGTTCAGGTTCGCCTCGGCCATGGCGTGGAGCGGGTCCTGCAGCTCGAAGATCTGCACCATCACGGAGTCGGTGTCCGTGAAGAGCAGCCTCATCTTCGGGAAGAGCCTCCTCATGTGGAGGTAGTAGGCCTTCTCCATCATGAGCTTGGAGAGCTGCAGCGTGCGGGCGCCGACTTGGGTGGGCACGCTCATGCAGGCCTTGCTGCGGTCCGTCTTGAGCGTCTCCACGAAGGCCAGGAACCCCTCCGAGTCGTTGATCTGGAGCTCGAAGTTCGTCACGGAGCTCTTGCCCACGGCCCGCTCGAACTTGGCCGGGTCCACGTAGGCGTTCGTGTTCCTGAACTTGTCGGGGTTCATGCAGCAGCGGCCGAAGATGGCGTTCTGGGTGAGCTTCACCACCTTCTCGGCGACCACGCTCCCCGCCGTCTAGCTGCCTCCGCTCGCTGTGCTTGAGCTCCATGAAGCCCGCCATGAAGGGGCTGCAGGCGAAGCGGTAGGCCCTGTGCAGCCTCCAGACCCTGGCGCCCAGCACGTCCCGCAGGAACTTGAGCCGCTTGCCGTCCACGCCCTCCTCTACGTGCATGCCGAGGAAGGGCACGAGCTTCTCGCAGGGCGACGGGGAGAGGCCGAGGCGCTGCCGTGTGCGGCCCGTACAGGCCCTTCCCGACCTTCATGCGCGCGGGGGGAGCCCAGTCCAAGTGGTGATGCAGCTCCGGGGGGAAGTCGTAGTCCACGAGCAGGTAGCTCACCTCCGGAGTTCAGCCCAGCTCAGCCTAGCGCGTTTTCTTCTGGCAGGGCGACCGTCACGCAGGGGCCGTTGGGCATGGGCAGCGTCATTGCGGCCGGGTACATGGCGTTGAAGTCCAAGTACGAGATCCAGCTGACGGGCTCCTGTAGTCCTCCTCGCCCAGCTCGGGGTTGTTGGCTTGAGCGAAGGGCTGGAAGATGCAGCTCAGCCCACCCATGACGGAGGACCGCACGTCCTTGTAGGCCTGCTCGTCGGTGATGAGGTGAATGGGAGACTCGCGGGCCGAGTGCCGCAGCATGGCGTCCCAGGCGCGAGCCCCGACTGCGCCCGGAAGGAGTCCCGGTAGCTCTCCATCACGTCCGCCAGGGCCAGGACGTCGGTGTGGGGGGGGGGACCCCATGAGATAGGCGGTGTTGACGGCCAGCCGGTGGTCCTCTGCGCTCCAGCACGCTGTCGTAGCAGTGCTGCTCCCACACCGCGGGCATCCAGCGGTGCTGGACCCGAGCTGCAGCTGCGCACGCCGACGGACTCTCCGCCCCAAAGACGGCCTCTCAAACAGCGGCGGACGCAGGCGTGGGACTGCATCCTGCGCAAGCTGCCCATGCCCTTCGAGCACTTCTGCGGTGGGTGCGAGGGCTGCTGCTCCTTCTGCCAGGCCCCCCATTTACCCAAACACTCCGCCCACACCCTCGGCGGCAACGGCAACCTCTCTCTCCTCTGCGGCCACAGCTGCCGTCTCCTCTATGGCCTGTGCTGCGCCACCTCCTGCGCGCGCTGCCCCGCCTCGCCCAGGAGGCGCTCTACGTCGCCTCTTCCAATTGAGCGAGGGCTGCCAGGCCCCGCCCACGCCCTCGGCGGCGACGGCAACCTCTCCCTCCTCTGCGGCCACAGCTGCCGTCTCCTCTATGGCCTGTGCTGCGCCACGCTCCACCTCCTGCGCGCGCTGCCCCGCCTCGTCCAGGAGGCGCTCTACGTCGTCGGGCCGGCCGATGATCTGCGGTGGTGGCTGCGGCTGCGGCCCTGGGCGGGGCAACACATTTAGGCGGACGTACTCAGCTGCGTCCTGGGGGAGCTGGGAGCGGAAGGCCTGCGCCGCCGCGAGCCCTGCTGCTCCTGCGCCCACAAGGTCCGCTGCTGCCTGCGCTCCGTCGGCCGCGCTGCGCAGACGGCCCGTAATGGAGGGCGGGCCCTGTCCGTTGTTTGTCAGCGCGTCGGCCTCTGGGTCTCCTGCGAGGTCGTCCTCGCCGAAGCGGTTTCCTCCGCCTTGGCGCATCCGGGCCAAGTCCTCGTCCGTGGCCTCAGCGGGAGTGCGGAAGCCTTCCTCTGGAATCGCCCTCAAAGGAGTGTGCTGCAGAGGCTCGCTGGACTGCACGAAGTCGTCCAAGTAGAAGTGGCTCGTGACGAACGTGGTGGCCTTGCGGTCCGGCTGGTCCAGGGGCAGCGGCTCATTCCGCTCCAGGTAGCCCACAACCTGCTCGAAGCGCGGGCGCTGATTGAAGCCGTGGGACCGAAGCGTCTTCATCTCTTTACTGTTACTGCGCGGCAACTTCGCCCGCTGCGCGTTCCACGCCCCTGCGCTCGGCGCGCGCGTAGCGCAGCTGAGGGACCTGGCGGCGCACGGCCTCCGTCAGCCGGCTCACATCGTCCAGGTGCCGCTGCCCCTCTTGGGCCATCCTGCGTTCCCCTAGCCAGGCGTTGAAGGCCTGCGCCTCCTCCAGCTCTCGCTGGCGCTTCAGCAGCAACGGCTGCAGGTCGTAGCTCGGATACGTCTTTCGGAACCACCGGAGCATCTGAGGCTCGTTGCGAGGTTCAGGGGACATCATCATGCTTTTCATACCAGCACGCTAGCGCCCGCCGTCAGCCGGTCGTACGCCGACTGCCTCTCCAGCACATGCATGGCGCGCTCGCTCGGACGAGGCGCTTCTACAGGCTCGGGCCGTACCTCTCTGTGTACCTCGGGCTCGGGCTGTACCTCGGGCTCGGGCTGTACCTCGGGCTCGGGCCGTACCTCTAACTGTGGCTCTGTCTTGGGCGCTGCCTTGGGTGCAGCCTTGGGCTTGGGAGCTGGCATGGCGGCTGCCTTGGCTGCCTTGGGCGCTGGCTTGGGTGCTGCCTTGGGTGCTGCCTTGGGTGCTGCCTTGGACACGGGTGCGGTGCCTTGGGTGCTGCCTTGGGCGGTGCCTTGGGTGCTGCCTTGGGTGCTGCCTTGCCCGCGGGTGCTGCCTTGGGTGCAGCCTTGGGCGCCGTCTTGGGCTTTGTGGGAAATCTCACCCTCTTGGGCCGGAAGGGGAGTCGATTTCGTAAGCAGGCTCCGGGCAGGCGATCATTTTTTTGCTCTTCGGCAGGGGCAGCTCGGGCGGCTTGGGCTTGTTTTTACTACCCGGAGGTCTGCCTCTAGGCCTTGGCGCCGGTTGCGCTTGCTTCATCGGTTTTTTAAGAGAAAATATTTTTTTAAAAGACCTTCGGGGAATTAGACGTGATCCAAAAACAGCACGAAGGACAAGGACGAGCCCCGCAGTCGGACGACTTGGCCTTCCAGGTCTGTCAGCCGGAAGCGCAGGTGTCTCAGGGTGATGGGGCCCCTAACAGCCAT